AAAGAAGTAGGTCTGGGGGCACCTGGGTGGCTCAGTTGGTTGAGCCTCCGACTTAGGCTCGGGTCATGATCTCGAGGTTCATGGGTTCAGGCCCCACACTGGGCTTTTTGCTGTCAGTGTCAAAGTTGTTAGTGGGGAGCCTACTTTGGATCCTCTGTCCTCCTCTCTCTCTCTCTCTCTCTGCCCCTCCCCTGCTTGTTCCCCCCCTCTCTCTCTCCCAAAAATAAACTTTAAAAAAAAAAGAAGTAAATCTGGAAATAGGGAGGAGACAGTGAGAGAATGTTTTTAGTTATAAATTCTGCTGAACTTTAGATTTTTTTTTACTACACACTTGCAGTGCTTTATAAAAAGGTAACCTTAGAAAAAAAACTTAGGGGTTAACCTGGGTGATCTAGTCATATAGGAAAGATAACAGCAATGGTTATATAATAATGTTTTAGTAAAGTGTGATAGCCTATAAAACAGAATTTCTTTAAGAGGCTGCTCTCCAGGCAAGCGGTCCTCATACAACGTTTCGCTTACCCGCATTGCAACAAAATTGCATTTTAAAAATATAGCCTATCTGTACTGACCCCTTGCTCAGAGCCTGGAGCCTGCCTCACACTCTTGACTCTTTCTCTCTCTGCCCCTCCCCTGCTCATGCTTTGTCTCACTCTGTTTCTCAAAAATAAATAAATGTAAAAAAAAAAAAAAAATTTTTTTAAATATAGCCTATAACCTACTGTCATTATAACTGCCCCCAAACTGTGTAGAACTCTGGATCTGCACTGGTAAGAGAGATAAAATTTAAAATAATCCAAATTGTTAGCAGAGAGACTTAGAGACCGATTGTTTTTTTCAAAAAAAAAAAAAATTATTGACTATATTCCCTATGCTGTAATTTTCATCTCCAAAACTTTTATATTTTATAACTGGAAATTTTACCATTTAACCAATGTTTGTATTTTATCCTGACTTTTCATCAATGTTGATTATTAGGACTAATTTAAAAACTTGTGATTTATTTTTAAGTTAGCCTCATATTACTTTATCATTTTTTTCTTTAATGTGGCTTTCTTCAGCTTTTAAAACCTGTAATTTGAGGACCCTGGATGATAGTACTACACAGCTAAAAAGGAATATTTAGTGCTGTGGTTTGAATATTTGTGTCCCCCTAGAGTCCATGTGTTGAAATCTAACCCCCAGAAGAGGATGGGAGTGGAAAGTGGGGCCTTTGGGAGGTGCTGAGATCATGAGGCTGGAACTGTCATGAATGGGCTTTGTGCCTGATAAAAGAAGTTCATAGGGGCGCCTGGGTGGCGCAGTTGGTTAAGCGTCCGACTTCAGCCAGGTCACGATCTCGCGGTCCGTGAGTTCGAGCCCCGTGTCAGGCTCTGGGCTGATGGCTCAGAGCCTGGAGCCTGT